AGGCCATACCATATTATCTGGTTTGAATATATGTTGATTTAAACTCGTTTTAGGAGATGAAAAGTCTATTATAAAAAATGCAATGTCTAAACACTTAATACATGTAAATGTAACCTATATACGGATTTATCGTTTTGAAAAAAAACAAAAAGCAACAGATAGTATTTTACACGTTTTGTAACAGAGATACCAAATTATTTGGTTGAATATACTTTACATGTTTATTGCTACTCGTTAATTAGATTACTTAACATATTCTCTGGTTTGTTTGATAATACCCAAATTATATTAGATTTGACAAAATACAGAAATTATTATAAAAATACAAAAATCATAAAACAAAAAAATAGTATTATAATTAATCGGTAAAAGTAAACTCTTTAATTAAAAAAGCTGTTCATTAAAAAAACCGTCAAAAAGGGATTACAGGTGTCATAATAATAAAAAAAACTCTTTTTGGAATATTTTTGTTAAATTTTTTATTTTTGTGAAATTTTACATAATGTAACTCAAAACCCACGTAAACATAAAAGATAAATATGTCTCATAAAGAAAAAAAGAAAAAATGTATAAAGTAACTACAACAGTATTAAACAGGAAATAATAGTAAACAAGTATTATATAACTCAGAACCCATGTTAACATAAAAGATAAATAAATGTAAAGGAGTGAGAAATAATTTTTAACTAACTATATAATAAAAATAATATAAAGGAAATTAAATGTATGATACAATATTGTAGTACATTTTAACAATTATTTAATAACCATATCTTTATTGGTAATTTAAATGTTATACAATTTACACAATTTTCAATTTTTGTTTAGGTAGGTTTTAATGCATTCTTAAGCCGGTTATCAGATAGGTATATATTTATTTATTAAACAACTTATTATGTGTATGCTTGTATCCGATCACTCCTTATGGCGGCCACAAAGAAGTTTTGAAAGACAATTACTTTTTCGTTTTTTCTCTTGTGCATTGGGTTGTTCATTCTGTGCGGGAACAGGCTAAAAACAATTTTTTTATTAAAATGTATTGCCTACCCAAATAAAAGTCAAGTCTGGATGTTTTAAAACACATATTGACCTTAATATTTTTTTAATTTAAAATTTATTTATTTGCTATTTGTTTGAATAATAAAAGGTCTTTATAACTGGTTAATTAACCAGAAAATATTTCAAAATCTTTTTCAAGAACCATAACCAAAACCCAAAAGTGGGCATCAATTTACATCCATGGGTAATAACAATAGAATTTTATGTGAGTTGCACTATTTTTACATCTGTTTGCGATAAAATAGTAAAATAGATTACCTTGTCCTGCGCAACATCATCTTCCTTAAAAACCAAGTATTTAACATAAAATTTACATTTGTTTTAAATCAATTTCAATTTAAACATAATATACATTTATTTTTATTATTAAAAAGGCATTTCTGGGTTAAAAAAATACATTGTTATGTGAGTTGAGCTATTTTTAGATCTGATTAAGATAAAATACTAAATATGAGTTACTTTTTTCACATTAGCACCTTCTGAGGCATCGGTGTCAGGTTGCTGTTTTGATTAAAAGAAATATATTAAATTGTGTTTATTATATAATAATAAATACTCTTTAAAGTTGGTTAATAAAACAGAAAAATATTTCAAAATCTGTTTCAAGGACCATAACCAAAAGATAGCTTCGATTTGTGTCCCTGGGTAAAAAACTCTTCGTTTAAGAATGATCTACTCTAAAATGTAGTGTTACTATTGTAACAGTACTTCTGCTTACCTTTTCATAGTTCATCGGTTGGTCAATTTCCTCAACCTTGAAAACAACGTATTAAACATAAAATTAACATTTGATGTAAGACTCTTCAGTTTCTCAGAAAGTAAAATCGTATTAAAAATTATTTGTTTTTCAATACGTTGAACATTTTTTGTTATTTTAAGGGATAAAGACATAAACCAAGTACTGATGTCGTTTTTTAAAAATGGAAAAATATGTCTCTAATTATTATATTGTTATGTAGATAACTTTTTTTTTTAAATGTTAGCGTTTGAATTTTTAATTTTTTTCATCAATCTGACCGTTTGCTATCACTTTATGTTCGCACTGTCTGATAAACGGGTACCTACACTAATAGCCTGACACAACTTCTACTTATTCAAACACAATACATGTGACAGTGTTATTGATGGGTTGAATATTATTATTATTTAATGGGATACTGTTTTGCCACTATTGTGATAACTAAACGAATATTGCTCTTAAATTTAAATCTTTACATTGTCATAGCTAACGTAGAGATAAATAGTAAACAAAAATTCCAACCCAAACTATTATTTAACATTTTTTGTCTAATTTTTTATGGAATTAAAAACTTATTTTCGCATGTCGCTCTTCTTCAAGTCTATACTTCTCTAACGTTTGAGATATGAAGGTAAAAATATGTACCTAAAAGTATAGGAAAAAAATTGTTTTCAAAATATTTATATTTTCCGAGAAAATGAGTCTCTTACATCGGTGGAACATTATGTATTAGAACTGTTATTTTAAAAGTCAACTTGAAAATTGCATTAAGAAAAAAAAATAACGTGTATCTATGTAGAAAAACCCGAGTCTAAATAATATACTAAGAGTCTAAAGAATAAGTTAAATATTGTTCAACTTCAGTTGTAATATAATTGATTAAGTCAAAAGTGAGTTAGAAAAAAATATTACAATTTATTATTTGAAAATTTGCAGTCATATTTTTTTTTTTTTTTGGGGGGGGTTGGTTTCTATTATTAATTGTATAGAAGAGAACTTTTCCAAATTTGACTCCTTCTTCCACAAAGCGCAAAAACACAACTAATAATTGATGATATAAATCAATCCAGTAGTTTTAAAGTATGGTAGAGCCAAAAAATATATTATTTATATTACAACCCAGTTTTGGTATACACATTTTCATTAAGACGACGGTGTGTAAAAAAAATCAGCCATTTTTCAGCCGAGTCTACAAACCACGAAAGAGCATTTTCATGTCTCGTTGAATAAATTTAGAGTAGTGGTGGAATTATAGATAATGATATGCTATATGAAGAAACAGTAACAAGCTAGTATATTAAGACATCAAGTTTCTGGCTAATATTGTAGTGTTTAATATCTAGCTTAATACAGTTCATAGAATATTTGAGCCCTTTAACTGTTTTGATTTTATCGTTTAGTTCTAATCTGAACGTTGATCGTACAACATATCTCTTATCTCTTACCCTTATCTCCCAACCCCTACCCCCTACCACTATCTCCCACCCCGATCATCCACCCCCTATATCCCACCCATATCTTTTACCTCTAGCTTCAACCCCTATCTTCCATCTCTAGCTTCCACACCAAAACTGGTTTTGCATGAATAATCGTTTTTAAATTATTCAAAAGTTTTAAAAGTATTAAAATTTCTAAAACTAAATTGTTCTAACTAAATTTTAAGTAAAATGTAGTATAAACCCTGGTAGATGATCCATCAATAGGTACAATTTCTAGGTTTGGTATGACTAATTTTTTTTTATTTCTAATAATAGCTATGGCATAATGTTTTTTGAAAACAACAAAATGATACATCTCCCACCCCTAGCTTCCGCCCCTACCTCTTATCTCCTATATCATTCCCTATCCCCTACCCACTAGCTCCCACCCCTATCTCCCCTAATGAAAATTAAAAATAGTTTAAGGGCCCAAATTCTTTATGAATTGTTTTCAGCCAGATATTAAACACTACAATATCAGCTAGAAACTTGATGTTTTAATATACTAGCTTGTTACTGCTTCTTAATATACTATATTATTATCTATAATTCCACCACTACTCTAAATTTATTCAGTACTTCAACGAGACATGAAAATGCGTGGTTGCAGACTCGCCTGAATAATTTTTTCAACCAATAAAGTCAAAATGTTTATTACTGTGTATTGTTTATTTTGTGTTATTTAGTCTGCGTAGAAACAGCTGTATTAAAGTATGACGCAAAAGACAATGTTTTTTAAAAACAATAAAACGACACATATTTTTAAAAAATAACACTCGTGTATATAGAGACTTTATTTCATATGCTTACAATTTGCGAATTTATGAACAAAATGGATTGAATTTTTTTTAAATTTGTATAATTATATAGTACTTATATAATAGTTCTTATACACAATTTTACATTCCTAAACCCAACATACCGTACGAAATAGTGCTCCTTTATATCAGTTTAAGATTAAATTTGAAATATGACTTACGTTGCTGCTCATGTATAAGTTATATAACTCTGTCTTAAAAAAGAAATAAATACAAAATAAGCACATGCTTTAAATCGATTTTAATTTTGAACATAAACAATACTTATAAAATTCTTAAAAATATTTTCAACTTAAATATAGTAGGTGTGTAATGTACTATAGTTGTTACCTGTCGTTCCTCTGGAGGGCCAGAATAAGTTAGTTTTAAACAACAAATTATTAAACATAACACAAATATTGCTTTTGCATGCATCGTAATAATTTTAAAATTATACAAAAGTGTTTAAAAAGTCTTCGAAATTACTTCAATCAAATGTAGTATATAAAGACTGGTTTTGCTAACGCCAATTTAAAAGTGCATAAAAAGGAATTAACTTGTACCCACGAAGAAAAAACACAACCAATAAAATACGCTCTAAGACAAACAAAATGTGTTTTGCCAGGTTTGGTAAAACACATTTTGACCAACTAAAGTAAAATGTGTTTTACCAAACCTAACGTTTTAGTTACGAAAATTCGTCCGTTCTTTTAATTTGTACAAAAACAAAATGAGGTCACGGCTGTACACACATGTTGGTCTAAAATGTGTATGTTGTGTATAAAATTCAAATATCTACCGATTTACACAAATTTTTTTAAACAAATTACATTTGAAATTGATATTATAACACCCGCCATATTTTAAAATACCATCACAAATTAACATTTGTTTTAAATACATTTAAATTTTTAACATAATTTTTATTTTTATTTAGTAAAAACACAATCAATCTAAAATACGCTCTAAGACCAACAAAAGCAAAAATGTGTTTTACCAAACCTATCGTTTTAGCTACGAAAATTATTCGAGAATTCGTCCGTTACCATATTAAATTTGTACAGAAATCAAAATGAGGTCACCGCTGTACACACATGTTGTTCTAAAATGTGTATGTTGTGTATAAAATTCAAATATCTACAGTCTTACACATACTTTTTGGGACAAATTGAATTTGAAATTGATATTATAACACCCGCCATATTTTACAATAACATCTAGTATAGCTTTATTACGGTTTATTACCGAGTAAAAGTTGTTTTTTACAATTATTATTGTTGCAATGTAATTAAATGATAAATAACATAATACAATATTATATGGTTTATTGTCAATATGACAAGGTTGCTAATTGACACTGGCTTTTTGTTCTGCCTATCTAGTACACCATAGGCGATTGTTTAATCTTTTGAGTTAAAACCCTATAGAAACCAATTATTCCACGTATATTCTGCTAGTAATCCAAACGATACATAAATAGAATACAAAATATTATTCATGATTAACTTATGCTTGGGGACATTGATTATGACTGATTGTGAGTCATATAAATAACTGCCAGACATATTACATGTTATATGGTAGTGTTGTACTTTTTTCTCTCACATTCTCTCTTTTAATATTTTCAATAGTAATTTAGAAGCACTATTCATTGAGATTAGCGTTTGATATTGTTTACAGGTTTTACTCGAGGTTTTCTCGGTGTGCCACTAATACACTGATAGACTAGTACAATGGTTCCATTCCTAAGGCATATACATATATCCTATGTCATTAGTAAAAAGCGTTTATATTATAAAAAAACAACGTCAAAAAGGAATTACAGGTGTCATAATAAAAAAAAAACTCTTTTTGGTATATTTTATTAAATTTTTTATTTTTGGGAAATTTTACATGGGTAATGTGACTCAAAACTCAAATGTAAAAATAAAAGATAAATATGTAAAGAAGTAAGATATAAAATATTTAAATAACAATATAATAGCAATGATATGAAGGAAATTAAATATAAGATACAATAAAAATATTGCTTGAAAGAAAATAATTTTAATCATTATTTAATAACCATATCTTTATTAGTAATTAATATGTTATACAATTTTCACATTTATTAATTTGTGATTTGGTAGCTTTTCATATAATCTTAAAACAGTTATCAGATAGGTGTATATTTAATTAACAAAACAAAGTTGTGTATGCCTGTATCCGATCACTCCTTATTGTGGTCCTTCTTGTGCACATGAAATAGGCTCGAAATCGTATTTCTTATTTTTTTTTTCACTGGTGCATTGAGTTGTTCATTTTTTGCAGCAACAGGCTGCAAAAATATATTTTTAATAAAAATGATTAGTCTTTAAAGTATAGCCTACCCAAATAAAAGACAAGTCTGGAATTTTTAAAACACATATTAACATTAATATTTTTGTATTATCTGTTGTGGTTAAATGAAATATAAAAATTGTGTTTATTATATAATAATAAAAGCTCTGTAAAAATGGCTAATAAAACTGAAAAATATTTCAAAATTTGTTACAATGACCATAACCAAAAGATAGCATCGATTGTATCCCTGGGTAAAAACTATACATTGTTAAGCCAGTTGCGCTATTTTTACATTTGATTGTGATAGTAAAATAAATGGATTACCTTTTCCTGGCACGCATCATTATCTTTCTTAAAAATCAAGTATTAAACATAAAATTAACACTTTCCTTAAATCCGTTTTAGCTTTAGACATATACTTTTTTTGTAATTATTAAAAATGCATCGCTGGGTTAATACAATAAATTGTTATTTAAATTTCGCTTATTTTAGATCTGATTATAATAATATACTAAAATATATGAGTTACCTTTTTCAGGTTGGCTTCATTTGTAGCAGTGGTGTCAGCTGTGACTGGGGCCAATGGTTGACCTGTATAACGGTTTTAATTAGATCCGAATTACAGTTAAAACAATTGTAATGAATACAACAAAAGCTTGTACCATTTGTAGAGTGTAAATATGGATTTTCATTTTGATATTTTCAATTGTGTTAAGTATCACAAATCAATATAAATATGTTATATGTATAACAGTTTTTTTTGAAATATAAGTTTAAATGTAACTTATAACTTACTTGTCTGTGAAAGATCATCTGTTACGGATTCGTGGATAAGATCTTGGCTGTTAACATGTACGTCTTTCTAAAATGACAGACGAAAATAAAAAAACATTTAGACGTATTTAAATAAAAATACTTTTTTTACGACAGAATTTATACCTATATCAGTAACGTTTTAAATTTCAAGAATTTTACCCTATTAGATTATAACACTAGTCAATGACTTATAAGCCAACTAACTAATAGTGTTTATAGTTATCAATCTACAGCCAGCGTTGCTACATGTTATAGTTTATTATTAAAAAACGATGCACTATAATATGTATTGCCTACATAAATTATGTTATTTGCGCTACCATTACATGTGGTTTTGATAAAACACTAAAGTAGAATTACCTCATTCTGGTTTGCATCGTTTTCGGAAATATTTATCTTCGCATTATCATATCTTAAGGATTCGTGGATACGGTCGACACTCTTAACATTTTCATCTTTCTAAAACGATATTAAAGTAATATTAGGAAGTATAAAAAAAAAATACTTTTTCTCATAACATAATTTACACCTATATTAGTTTCAAGAATTTTACCCTATTATACTAGTTCATGACTTTTAAAATAAAAAACTTAAAAGCCAACTAATAGTGTATATAGTTATTAATCTACAGCCAGCGTTGCCAGTTTTTATCGCTCATAATTTAAAAATTATCTTGTCTAAAATATATCGCCTTCCCAAAAAAAAGTCGAGTCTGAAAGATTTAAAAAGATTAGGAGATTCCAGTGGGCTGGTCACTATAACCTAACCTAGCGTAGTTAGAACCCGTTATTGTACATGGTATTGGCAGAAAACTCAGAAGGGAAAAGACCTCTTGGATTACCCCGTTTAAGATGGGAAGACTTAGAATCACTGAATGATGGTCCAGATTGGAAAACAAAATCAGCTAACAGAAAAACTTGGAGGATCGGTTGATTGACGAAATGGGCTTAATGGCCGTTAATACTCAAGAAGAAGAAAGAGAAAGATTTAAAACACATATTGACATATAATGTTAAAATCAGCTTTACTAATCATTACTGTCAGCCATAAGTTAATAAAAAGAGCCTTTAGAGTTAGTTATGAAAACGAAAAATATTTCAAAAAATCTGTATAAAAAACTTTAACGAAAGCCAAACAAGTGCATTGTTTTTTAGTCCTAGGGCAATCTACTTAAGATAAAATACTGTTTATAAATTACCTTTTTAACGTACATACCTTCATCATCCTTTAAAACAAAGCATTAAATATCAAATTAACACTACTGACACATATCCATTTCTTTTTAACACAATAAACTTTATACATTAAAGCAACATTTAATTTATATTACTTAGTAATTATTGTTTAAAATATATATAAATTAATAATGATTGATAAATTGTATTTTATATTATTATATTAAATTAAAATAATGGTTTGTATTCTTTCAAATAACCTGTAACATTTCCGTTGGTTCTACTTTTTTGTTGTCGGCCATTATCCACGATACTTTGGCAGCGAGCTAAAAACAATATGTAATTAATTAAATACTACATTTTTTTGATTATGCATTTATTATATCAGATCAAATTTCAGTCCATATTTATTTATAACAATAATTCGAGCATCCAAATATTCGTTAGGTTATATGTAAGTTTAGGATTAGTAAAAAGTTAGTGTTACTGTTTTGTTTTGTAGGAAAACAGCTTATATATACTTTACTGCCAGACCTTAATTAATATAAATTCTTTACAGTAGGTGACTAAAAAAGAAAATATTTCAAAATCTGTTCCAAGAATTATAACTAAAAGCCAAAAATGTCCATCAAATTGCATCTATGATTTAAAACAACACGTCATTTTGTGAGTTGTGCTATTTTTACATCTGTTTAAGATTAAATACTAAATATGAATTACCTTTTTCACGTACAAATAATCTTCGGCCTTTAAAATTGGATTATCTCCTTCTATCTCAATACCTGTAAAATGATTCAATATTAGTTCCGAAGTACAGTTAAACAATTTTAATGAATACAACAAAATCATGTATCGTTCGTTGAGTAAGTGCGGTTTTTCGTTTTGATATTTTTTATAGTTTAAGATACCACTAATCAATATAAATATAGTATAAACAATTGTTTTTCTCGAAATTATTGTTTAAACTTGTTACTTACTACGGATTTTAATCATTGGTTACATACCTTTTTCGCGTTTCTGGACTCGCTCCATCTTTGCTAAATTGTCCTTTGCCTAAGTTATTATTAAAAATGTACAATTAATTAAAAAATGTAATACATCATCAGTAGAGTTTTAAATTTTAAATATTGTGCACTATTACATTATGATACAAGTACCTAATTACTTTTATGCTAACTAATTGTGTATATAGATATTTATCTACAGC